TCCGAAGGTGATTGGGGCGTTGGGGGGGGAGTCTTTGGTTGTCACCATGGCAGTGGGGAGTTGGGGGGGAGTCTTTGGTGTCACCATGGCAGTGGGGAGTTTGGGGGGAGTCTTTGGTGTCACCATGGCAGTGGGGAGTTGGGGGGGAGTCTTTGGTGTCACTATGACAGCAGGGAGCTGGCTGGGCTGCAGCGTGCCTGCCACTGCTGGGGTCTGGGGCATGGGGAAGAGATGTGTGCTGGAAGGGTCAAGAGACACAGAGGGCAGGTGCAGATCTCCAGGTCACAAAGGAACCTAGGCCTGCACCTCAGCAGCTATGCAGGGATTATGGGACAGTTGCTCCAGAAGTATCTGAAGATTTCCCAAAGCAGAAGGAACATCACACACACACCCACCCTACACACACACACCCACCGTACACACACACACGGGCTGTCTGGCCAGTTTTTCTGGAAAATCAGCCACTTTTCCGGAAAAACTTGCCAGCTGTCTACACTGGCCGCTTGAATTTCCGCAAAAGCACTGACGATCTCATGTAAGATTGTCAGTGTTCTTGCGCAAATACTATGCTGCTCCCGTTTGGGCAAAGCCCTTTTGCACAAAACTTTTGCGCAAAAGGGCCAGTGTAGACAGCCCAGATTTGTTTTCTGCAAAAGAGCCCCGATCACAACAATGGCGATCAGGGCTTTTTTGCGGAAAAGCATCCGTGCTAATCTAGACGCTCTTTTCCGCAAATTCTTTTAACTGAAAACGTTTCCGTGAAAAGCATTTGCGGAAAATCCTGCCAGTCTAGATGTAGCCACGCTGTTTCTACTGCAGATGGATCAGGTTGCTGGAGCAGAGAAAATTGGGCACAGGGCACCACTGTCATGGCCCCAAGCTAGGCAGGATTCTCATAGATGGGATCCGCACTCTTTTAGTAAGATTTCCCCAACTTTTACCTCTTGGTCCTTAAACCAGTGTTTCCCCCGTTTTTGAAAGCTGATTGCCCACCTCAGAAAAATGAAATCTGCCAGACACCCAGTACCCCAGCAGGT